CTAAAATACAAGTACCTCTAAAGGTAACAGAGGTACTGGAAGAAATTCACCTAAATAATCTTCCAGGTGGTGCTACCTTAATAGAGAGTTAGAGTTTCTCTCTTAAAAGATTGTTGAAAATGATAATTGCAAGGCCATAATAGCTCTAAGCGAGTTATGAGGAACTTGAGAACACGTGGTACTCATGTGTGTGTTCTTACTGGTATTATCATATGGAATAATCGGTTCAAGGCTACACGCTACCTTTGATTCCAACTATACTTTGTTTGAATTACACTATAGTTAGATTCAAATCAAAAGATATCTAATCCTTATGCATGAGTATCGTATATTATGAATATGAGACTTGCTAATTTTGAACAAGTGGGGGATTGATGTGATAATATTGTTCAAAATAAACAACTACAATAAAAATAAATAAATAAAAATTATTTGGTCCATGCGACCATATGGTACAAACCCATGCGGTCGCATGGTGTAATTATTTGGCCGTTGTATGCCGTTTTATCTCGTTGTAAATTCAAAATTGGTGACTTTTGGCTTAAAGTTTGATACCATTTTGTGAATGTGGTGTTTGTCTATATATATTGGATCCATATTGAAGGCAAAAAAGTCACAAAACATCAAAGTTCCATATTACTTCCAAAATCAAATATCAAAGTCTTTAAAAGCCATATTCATATTCATTCTTTGTATTCTTCAAGTTTTATAGGATTTGCACTTGTGCTTTGGTGTTTAAATCCTAGCAAGACTTGTTATAATCCTGCAAACCATTTGCCAACAACCTTCAAAGCATCTCAAATTAATAGGAGAAGAAACAAATATCGTTTGAGGACAACGATATTGTGTTCAAGCCATTCATTGATACAAATTCGTGATTTTTTTTTTTTTTTTGGCATTTCCGGTTCATATTTTTTGATTTCTATTCAAATCCGGTGAAATTTCTCCAACATGATTAGCATGCTAAATTCGAGGTCTGCATTTTGCAGGATGATAAATTGGAGAAAAAAGTTGACTCTTTGGAAAAGAGATGCGAAGCTTTCCAAACGAAGCTAAGGGAAGTTGAGAAGGACAAAAAGAAAATACAACGAGATGAGAAAAAGGCTTTGAGGCTCTAGTTACAAAGGAGGCTCGTTTAGTAGTCGATGTTTCCAGATTTAAGGACTTAGAGCAGGCTAGAGAAAGTCACGTTGCTTACATTGCTAGAACTGATCTGAGATTTTACACCTCAAGAAGGAGCTTCAGTTAGCTAAGGTTAACAGTATGCTATTTCCAAAGACCTGGATAAGATGAGGAGTTAAAAAAATTCATCGATGGACCTGACCACTGCGTACCCATCATCTTAACACTCATTCCTTTTCCTCTCTATGGTGTCATCATAGATTGGCTTCTCCTTAGAGAGCTTTGATTAGAAACACTTTGAATGGGAATGAAATGCGCAATAATTAGATATTATTATCGGAATTCGACATCTCTCTTGCTGCTTGATTTGTGCCTTTCTTCACATGTGTACACTGCACCATTACCTAGTGATGTATGAATAGACTATGATTTGATAGAGTTCGTATTTTGTGCATAAATACATTTATTGATGTTGAACTTCAATCTTTTTATTTTCGAGAGTGAATCCATAAAATAAATAGTGACTTTAATCTAATTATACAATTAGTTTTGTTTGAAAACATATATACAATGTTAAAAATGGAAAAGGAGTTGTAATGAATTTTTCATTGAACCTTCTTCAAGTAGAAAGAATAAATAAGAGAATTTTCAAATGAAAAAAGAAACCGCAATAAATTATGAGCTCTAATTATTCTCCCATTTAATTCCTATTATCACATAGCCTGCTTCAACTTTTATTATTAAAATTTTGGAGTATTAATGAAAATCAAAAATTCGAGAATTAGAGCATGAACATTTTTGCTTAGTTTTAATTTCTTTTTCGTTGAAAAGTTGATGGTTTATTTTTATATATAGATATTAATTTTTCTATTAGAAAATGTTAATGCATAAGCTGCAAAATGGTAAAAGAAAAACGAAAAAAACAATTACAAACAAAAATCAATGGCTATCTTAATATCAATATTTTGTGCCTCAAAGACAAAGGTATTGTATGGTAAAGTGTTTTGTGTATAATGAAATTCTAAGGCGATAGGAAAGTCCTAGAAATATAAATATGACAATTTCTTTAAGTACTGGAGATAAGCACTAAAGATTATAATTTAGTCTTCCATAAGTTGAACGGACATAATTATTTTCGCCATACACACACGGAGATAGACAATCGACGTTCAATGTCATATTATTTTATTTAGCTGAGAAATTTTGAAATGTATTCTTATGGTCCAAGTATTGATTGTCATTTTTGTTAAGCTTTCAAGAGCTCTATAGAACCTTTTCAGAGGTGAAGCCATTACTATCAAAGTTATTGGACATTACCGGTATTGGACTTATGCGTATTTGGACTATAACAGTTGCGTTATACATATAGAAGAAGATAATTTGCATTATTAAAGCAATCTGAGATAGATAGAAAAGGGCTTTCAAGTGCAATGAGCCCTAGTACAATGACCTCTCACAGACCTAAAATTCTTGTTTCTGGCTATTGAAAAATCAAAGCCTTGTGGCATGGATTACCGATGGTGGTTTTAAGTTATTGACAAAGCAACTTATGCTTTTAGTGGATTGGACGCCGAGTCCTGAACTCCAGCTAAAAAAGAAAATGAAACTCGATCTCATGCAATAAATCACATTCATAGGGTCAATGGTTATTGTCATGCGTCTTTCTAAGACCATCTATAAATGAATTCAAAGTTGTCAATCAATTTACATATTTGTAACTACCATAGATAAGCTACCACCATCTTTAGATGATATCTATGATATTATTTCATATAACTTAATTAATGCACTCATGTAAAGAATTAAGAGAACCTATTTATTATTCTTGACTTGATTACAATCAAGAATTCAAGGGTCACATGTCGAGCAATAGAGTCAAACTCAACCCACTTTCCAAACACAATGGATTGATCAGGTTAGGGGGAAAAAAATTACTATTACAATTTTTTCCTTCGTTTTATTTATTTATTTAAAAGTGACAAATGGTTATAGCTAAATTTGATGACAAGTCATATTACTCTTGCACTCTAAATGCAAGAGACGCTACCTGCAACAATCACTATATTTTAAATTTTCTTTGAATAATTGTGAACACCATTTCACAAATAAGATTGACATAGTTTCACCTTATTGAGCCAAATTTGGTTTCCGCATAGGCCAAACTTTTAACAACTTGTAGCAGTGAGATAACATACATTATTGATGCAATTAATCACTTGAAGTAATCAAATTATATGTCCATGGCATGTATTTTAGTTCCAAATTCATGTAGCCAGCAACTTGACAATTTTCCTCTCCTTTTCTTTTCTCCCCATCTTTAGTTCTTCTTTTAGTTTAAAAGAAATATCTTCGTTAATCAATTAAGATTTGAACCACCAGTAGAGGTGGTTGAGTTTTGGGTTGATTAGTTTGGCACAACTGCCGAGTTCTTATGAACAAAAATGTAAAGCAAGTGGACAATAATGATCCAACCCTTTAATATGCAACAAACTATTTTGTCAAATAGAGTAAATGTAGCTATCAATAGTCCTAGAAAAATAACTAGGCATGTTTGGGAGCGATTTTCTAACCCAAAAAATTAATTTTTTGACCGTTATTTTACTATTCTAGTCGTCATATTTAACTTCTTCTCTCACAGGTGGACCCTACTTTTCTCCTAACGGTCTCAAAATCACTTCCAAACAGGCTCCTAGTAACTTTTCGAAGAGAAATAATGATGGCGATCAAGAAATGGAGATAATAATGAGTGCTAGTTTTGAATGTGATGTTGAATTTATAATTTGACTTCGATTGAGTGGTAGAACTAACTTTTAATTTACTAAATTGATGTCTACCAAACAGAGTGATATTTTTGTGCAAACCTTTATTCACAAGAAAATGACATTTTAGACAGCAATTAATTTCCATTTATGTTTTCTTTTCAACTTCTTTAAAGAACAGGTCACGTGTTTGGACAAATAATTTCATACTGGAATTTAATATACTACCCGTTTAGGTAGAAACGAATTTGGACCACAATTATATATCAATTTTAACATTTAATGTCTCTACTTTTGAGAGATGAAATTGGAAGAATTATCTCAACTGTAAATTCTGTAATTTGTTTTAAACGAAGTAAACTCTATCATCAAAAGTAAACAACTTTTTTTAAACCCAACAAGAAGCTATATTATAAAATCATTCGCCAAAATATTTTGAAACATAAATTGAAAAACAAATGTTCCAAGCACAAGTACCAAAGTTAAACGTATAAGAGGCAAAGTTATATATTATAAATTGTTGTAACATATAGGAGTTTCAAACTATCAAAATTAAATATAGTTTTAATTTTTCAGTTTGTTTTTAATTTTCATTTTTAATGCAAATTGGAATTTTGATAAAATCGAGTACATTACATGCAAAAATGTGTCTTGATTTACAAAACCTACTCAACATCGACCCCTATAAATATGATATGGAATTTGATTTCTATTTAACAAACATTCAATCATTCCGATTCCACTAGTAAAGGTTACTTCTGAAGTGCAACATGACTCCTATTTGCATAACTTTAACGATGAAGAACATTTTTTAGAGTAAACACGATGAATCTGATAGAGGGGATTGTAATGTGAATGATATTTGGAACACAATGGGGGTAGTTCATGATAATAATGTAATTATTCCTAGGACAATTGCTGCACACCATGATATCACTTTTACGCATAGAATTCTCGGTGTAATTCAATATTCACAAAAGAGTGTTAGTGAAATTGAAATTTAAGAGCCGTGTACCATCTGTGAAATTGGATAGGAATAAGTTTGAGTATTTGGATTATACTTAAATAACAAATCCTAACATTCAATTATATAAAAAAGGCATCTAGGTGAAAAATCCCTGAAGTTTCAAAATTATATTGACATACTAATCCCTGAAGTTTCAAAATTATATAAAAAATGCATCTAGGTGAAAGTATGAGATTACAATCCAAGTCTAATTCAATTTACCAAAGCTATATATTAATGATAACTACAAATATTACATTTTCATGTTTGTGAGGGAGAAAAACCTTCAAGATGTTTCCTTTAATCATTTTCATGTTCTTGGCTCCCTTCCAATTCCAATCTGAAATTCTAGTAGATGGATGTGCTGGCAAGAGTATATTCATACTTGCCAGCCAGAGCAATATGGCTGGTCGAGGTGGTGTGGCGAATGGGACATGGGATGGTTATGTCCCTGCTGAATGCCGTCCTGAGCCAAGGATTCTACGACTTAACCCTATGTTGAGGTGGGAGGAGGCACATGAACCTCTTCATGAAGGCATTGACCCACTTAATAAAACTTGTGGGGTGGGACCGGGGATTCCATTCGCTAACCGAGTGCTTGAAAGAGATCCTTGCATCGGGGTGATTGGTTTGGTCCCTTGTGCTATCGGTGGTACCAGTATAACCGAGTGGAAACGGGGCTCCCATCATTATAATAAACTCTTGAAGAGGGCTAATGTGGCGCTGCAAGATGGAGGCCAAATTCGGGCTATACTATGGTATCAAGGTGAAAGTGATTCTTTAGATATAATCAGTGCTAGAATGTACAAGGCGAGATTGATAGAATTTTTCATCCGGGGAGATTTAGCTTCCCGAGCACTCCCAATTCTTCGGGTTTTTGGTTACTTTACGAGTTTTCTGTAAGATTTAAGCCCGATGCATCCTTGAACAATAACACTTTTAGGAGTAGGTGAACAGACCGCAAACAATGTTAAGCCACCCAAAAAGTGAACTGAACAAAAAATCCTACTTCATCTCAGCCAAGGATAGTAACTATGGCTGTTGATTGGATGTGTAAGGTGAACTGATATTCTTTAGATTTGAATGTATTTTTTTTCTTGGGCTGAAGTGGAAAGGTGTAGTTTATCATTTTTCATCACCTCCAGTCCCCTTGCATCGATGCATACTACATTGTGAAGTTTGATCTCTAGTTGGGCCTTTCTTACAACCTCGAAATACGGTCCCGCTACTGAAGCCAATGCCACCTGCAACAAATTATCATATAATTTTATGATTTAGTTGATATAAAATATTGAATGTACCAACAAGAAACAAGTAATTAACATGTATATGTATGAGAATCACTTCAAAATGAAAACATATACTTGTCATGTTAACAAAACTTCGAGACTTGTACCAAATGTTGCAGAGACACCTAAGGAACTTTAAATGCCCACGAAACATTAAGCATAAACACAGCCACTATCCTTGGCTGAGATGGTTTAGGATTTTTTGTTCCGTTTACTTTTTGGGTGGCTTAACACTTTTTGTGGTCTGTTCACCTACTCTTGAAAGTGTTTTTGTTCAAGGATGCATCGGGCTTAAAGCTTACAGAAAACTTGTAAAGTAAACATACCTAAAGAGTTGGGAGTGCTGGGGAAGCTAAATCTCCCCGGATGTGAAGGAAAAACTCTATCAATCTCATCTTATACATTGTAGCACTAATTTCATCTAAAGAATCACTTTCACCTTTACACCATAGTATAGCCCGAATTTTGCCTCCATCTTGTAGTGCCGCATTAGCCCTCTTTAAGAGCTGCTTATAAAGATGGGAGCCCCATTTACCACCAATAGCACAAGGGACTAAACCGATCACCCCGATGCAATGATCACCTTCGAGCACTAGATTAGCGAATGACATCCCTGGTCCCACCCCACAATGTTTATTAAGGGCGTTGATGCCTCCATGAAGAGGTTCATGTGCCTCCTTCCACATCAATGTAGGTTAAGTTGTAGAATCCTTGGCTCAGGACGGCATCCGGCAGGGACATAACCATCCCATGTCCCATTCACCACACCACCTCGACTGGCGATGTTGCTCTGGCCGGCAAGTAGAATATACTCTTGCCACCACATCCATAAACTAGAATTTCGGATTGGAATTTGAAGGGAGCCTAGAACATGAAAATAATTAAAGGAAACATCTTGAAGGTTTTTCTCCCTTACAAACTGAAAATCCGATGCTGCAATGCTACTACTCTTCCTCTTTATATATATAGGAGGTTGTGTGGGTGGGGGTGGGAGTGGGGGGGGGTGAGGGTGTTGGTAGTATGGTATGAAAAAGACTAATAATTATTGTCATTAAATGTCTTTGGACAATAAAATTAATATGATGAGAAAGTCTATCTAGAATAATAATTAACAAAGCAATTAGGTACAAGAACATTTTTACATGGTAAAAGTATAAATTTAAGGCGATTATTTGAGATTATTGAACAATTAATTGTATAATGACGAAAATATATAAGTTTTTTGACATCTTTGCTCTTGTATTTGTACAAAAAACCTCGTGATCATATGCATGCACTTTATTAATAAAGTATTTTTTATACGAAGTAAAGCCTTATCATATCATCTTTAAATTCAATCATTTAACATATGACAAATACATCAATTAACTAAACTGCTTCATTTTTATTCATGTGTTTCCATCATTCAATTGTTAATGCATATATAAAATAATATCTCTTCTTGTTATTCTTCGTGTATGACGTCATAATATTCTATAAGAACGTTCTTGCTTAATGAAAAATTATAATATACTTGATATAAATTGCTTAGATGTGTGAGAACAATAAGAAAAGTTAAATTTAAAATTTAGTTAAACAGTTAAAATTATCATGGTGTTTCTTTTTCTGTCATTTATTTTCTCCACGTTTGAAGATTAGGTGTGAAAATTAAATTCAATAAATGTACTTTATTTGACCTCCTTACCTTGATAGTTTTGATATATAAAATAAAATCATTTATGACCATTTTACCTTAGCATAATATTGTGCATTTGATGTGTCAAACACAATAATTATGCATTTGAGATGTCAAATTCGTTAGACCAAATTCAAGTAGTAGTTGTTATCTATGAAAACATTTTAATTTCCTGAAAAATTGATATATGATATCAAACAATTTCGTTATACATTGTACGGGATGTGAAATTTCACACTCAACTTTTCTTGATTGATTTTTGATGTAGATTGAATCTACAAACACACGACAACAATAGCCAAACGGATTGAATTCAGAAACAAACTTTTATTATTTCATGAACAACCAAGAAAATCCTAGGAGGCGTCTTGCAGCGTCTTAAATATGAAAGAAAATATAACCTACTGAGCCAGCAGTCCCAAAATGGGTTGGGCTACAAAATGGAAATAACAAAGGGAAGACTACATAACTACAACATTATAAAAACACATTTCATAAATAACAAACTCATTGAAATATTTCAAAAATCAGGTGGTAAATATATTTAATAAATATATTAAACTATAACTTAATATACATTAATTATTTCCACTCCATGTCACCTCACTCACCCCATCTTATCACCCCACTACACCACCTTCCTTTTACCTCTCCACCGGAGATAGCCATCGGCTCCTTCTCCGGCGATCGTTCAAGCAGCAACTCCGGCGACCGTTCCGACAAACTGCTGTGGCAAACGCTCCGGTGCCTACTTTGGCAAACTGCTCCGGCGACTATTCCACCAATTGTTTCGGCTTTGGTGATAGAAAAATCTCCAAATTTTGTGATGGTTGTAGTGGTGCATTACAGTTATCAGATTTGCAACCGTGTTATCTATGACCATACCTGTGTTACATGTGGCAAATTTATTGACTTATGTTATCCGAGAATCACCGTGACCAACTTTGCCTTAGGTATGACTAATTTTGACCAAATTTGTATTCAGTGTGACTGTCTGTGACCAGATCAATCTCAAGTCATAATCAGTCACAATCAATACAAAATTGGTCACAAACACTTACAATCAGATCTCGAACTAAAAAAATCAGATCTCCAAACCACCACAATAGATTTGTTTGGAAAAATAATAACCATTACCACCACTAACATCTTTAATTCAAATTGATGACCATAAATACTACATTCACCTCAGATCCACAACAATCATTACTACCATAACTTCCACCAACCCTTCAAAAAACACCAACTAGCACCACTACACTTCTCTCGTAAAACTTCAGTGAGAGAAGTGGTAGGCGGTTGGAATCTAGAGGGTGGGTGGGAAAGAAGTCGCAAATCTGATTTTTGGGTAAAAGATTGCCAAACTAATTCTTGGGGGAAGAAATAGAGTGTGTGGGGTTAAAAATTGATAAAAGATCTGGGGTAAATTTATACGGGGTCTGTGACCAATTTTGTATTTAATGTGACTATTTGTGACCAGATCAATCTCAAGTCACAACCGGTCACAATCAACGCAAAATAGGTCACAAACAGTCACAACCAGATCTCGAACAGAAAAAATCATATCTCCAATGGCAACAGCAGATCTGTTCAGAAAAATAATAATCACCACCACTATTAACATCTTTAACTCAAATCAATAACAACAATTATCACTACCTTAACTTCCACCAATACCTTCAAAAAACACAAACCAATTGATTGCTGAATATTTCTCAATAAAGATTTCAAAGATTTTTCTTCAGTTATTTCTTGAAAAGATGAGGAAGATTATCAGAGAGAAGCTGTAGATCTGATTGTTCGTCACCATATGGTCCCCACGTTCACGTTTGGGTTTTCTTCTCCTCACACACTGTTTCTGCTTTAGGTGACCCATGTACTGCATTGGCACTTCCCAAAAATCTAAGCTCATCAACTTTCAAAGAAGAAATTTGTGCGAAACTCCGACGAGAGAAGTGGTAGGTGGCTGGAATTTAAAGGGTGGGGTGGGGAAGAAGCCATCGATGAGATTTTTGGGTAAGAGGGTGCTGATAAATTTTGGAGAAGAAAGAGAGAGTCAGTGAGTTAGAAAATGAATTGGGATATGGGGTAAAAGAAGTGTTTAGGGGTGATAGAATGGGTGGGTGTAATTAATTAATTTAAAAATTAGTATTTATCACCTGATTAATGAAATTCAATCTTTTACCCACTTGTTTTAGAAATGTAATCTTGAAAAGAAGGGATCTAGGTAATTTTCTCAATAACAAATGCTGAAAATAAATAACACAAAAACTTAAAATGCTGTTTTGACACACTAAACGACTTCAAATGCCCAAAAACCCTCGTACGTCACGGCGAAGCGGTGTGTTCAATCCGAAACGCTCGCTACCTTTTCGAAATGGGGTTATGGGCCCAAAACGGATACCAAACGCAAAAGTTACATCAATTTCTTTGAAAGCCGACCATCCAACCATTCCATGTATGACAATGCCTGTTCCTCCACATAAACCTCATCAATTTTCTTTTTTTATTTCTTTTATACTATTCTTCATCTAATACATCACCATACGCTCAAAATACTCATAAAAGCCTACTTTCAAAGGCTGGTTTGTTATCTTCACTATCCCAAGAGTTGATACAGAACATGAACAAAAATTTGAAAATGAGAAATCGATTATTTATTTATTTATTTTTTACTTTAATGTGAATCATCTCATGAATATACCTAACTATTTTGTTGCAATAGAGACACATAACCTTAATGAATTCTCAATCTTTCGGATTCTCTTGATCACTTCTAGCTAGGCAATGAATTATTTGCTTGGTACATGTTACGAATTAAAAAAAAGAAAAAATCTACATATGCACAAAAATATATATGTGGGGGTGGGGGTGGTGGAGGTGGAGGTGGAGGTGAAGGAAAATCACGTCCATTCATATTAAGAGTTTGGTTTATCTTATAACAATTTCATTAAAACTATAACCTAAATGAACCAAAAATGATAAAATTCACGATATGTAGTACATGATGGATTGGATTAATAGAGGTTGGTTATATGTGGACACCAAAAATTCTTATCTATGTGGACATAGTTATAAATTTAGGTTAGTTATTCGTACTAATTATTGACAAACTTTACACTTACTATCACTTATGTTGGGACAAAATGAGTGATTTGTGTATAGATTATGTAATTCAGACAGTGAAGTATAACAAGAATAGCTTAAGTTAGAATAACAAATTAATATAACACAAAAATAGAGAAGAGAATTAGAAAACAAGCATTAGAGAGTCACGTCAAAAACGATATTTTAAAGTCATGTTACCTCCCTTTTGTATGATTACTTTCGATACTACATGACTTCAAAATAAAATCTATATAGCTTACAGTCAGTTCTCGTTCTATAGACACAAGCATAGGAAAATAAAGAACGAGACTTTATCCAACTTTCAAAACCACAATATAGTCTAAAATGTATAGGGAGTATTATAAGCATTTTCAAGTTATATTTCTCCCTTTTATAGTGTAGAAGTTCAACCCAGCATAATGAAAATAAATTAAATTTAAAATAAGTTACAATCTTTAATTATGATTTTTAATTTTTATTAAAATTAAAATTACGATAAAACTGAAAACTTAAAATTATATCTAATCTTTAAAGTTTGAAATTCCTATAGTTACAACAATTTATACTATCTAACTTTGCCTCTTACACATTTAAGTTTGGTACTTGTACGTCCAACATTTGTTTTCAGTGTATGTTTCAACATAAATTGGCGAAATGATTTTAGGATAAAGCTAAACGACTCTCGAGGATGACCGCACCGATAATCACGCACTCACATGAATGCGTGGGTCCCGCATGAATTAAATAATGTCCGACCTCCCATGTGTGTGTATGTGGTCATCCCCACTGTCAAACCCGTTATTCGTGTAGCACGGTTGATGATTTTATAATACAACTTCTTGTTGGATTAAAAAGAAAAGTTTACTTTTGATGATATAGTTCACTTCGTTCAAAATTAATTAC